GTTTTGGCAAGGTAATCACACGGATTTATTTTAGAATTGTTTGTATAATTATTACCTTATATTATTATTGTATAATTGGATATTCATATTGTAGGGAATAGTTTCAAGTCTTTAAAATCCCACTAGCTTGAACCCCACTGTGATCATACACTAAAGTACGGTGGCGTCCAAAAGGGAAGAAGATAGAGCAAAAGAGTCGCCAACAAGTTTTTAAGGAACTTGTAAACCGTTCACGAGGTGAAGGTTACACCCCTTAACGATCCAAGAGATCGTCAACTCCATAAGGTCATGAACCAAATAAGGGTCCGGGGATGATGGTACAAATCCAACCTAAAAGAGATCGAACCTGCCCTAATAATAGGCCTCTACTTTATTCTGCTCGTATTCATGTGCGCTTTCTGACTAACATACAATCAATAGGATTAACCCTAAACCTGTTTAATCTATGTTGGTTGAATATTAATGCACAAAAAAATCTATTATTGGCGGTCACTTGAAATTATAATCACAATTAACCCTAAACAAGATTATTAATATCTTATTAAGCGTGATTGCAAAAATCAATTCCCTTTATCCTGCAATTAAAGGTGATCAAGCAATAACAATATACAATAATATGCATATCAAGCAACATAATAAATAATCATCATCAATCATAATCATAAATGTTAGAAAGAACATAGGAAGCATCATATTTTTAATCACGCTTAATATTAAAAACACCCTAGACATGATACTAGGAATATCATAATAATAATATAAACATGATGTCTACATCATAAAATCAATTAAGCCATTAAAGTACTTACTTGGACGCCTCATACCTTTTTTTAATTACAAAATACACACGTTAGTAACTTCAAGGAAAACAATAAACAAACAATTAAATTAAATAATTGAAATAGAGATTTGGGACCAAACCCTCAGAAAATTAAAACTTTTCACGTCTAGGGCGAAGGCAACTTCGAATATGGCTAGGTGTTTCTAGATCTTGTGAATGCGGAATTTTGTATTAAAAAGCAAAATAGAAAAGAATGCTAAAAAGAATCAATGTTATTGAAAATAGATGAATGAATGATGAAGAGAGTTGATGAATAATTTTGTAAAGAGATTGTTAATGAATGATGATTGTAGATGGTGAAGATAGATGGTGAATTCGTGAATGAAAACGGAGTTTTGATACGATATTTATAGAGAAAATCAGCCAAAAAAGATAATTTATCAAAACAGAGTCTGAAGATCGCAAAAACAACTTGGCGCCAGCCCTGGCTCATTGGCGCTAGGACCAGTGGCTAGCGCCAGGCGCCAATGGCTGGCGTCTGGCGCCAATCCTGGTTCCAGGCGCCAAGGCCTGGGGTTGGACGCCAAACCGGCTTTTAACACGTTTTCGAAAATCTGATAATCTTACCGTACTGGAAGATAAAATAATATAATTTCAGTCGAAAATGTTATTTGATCTAATTAAAACTCTAAAGAATCCTAATTGAATTAAGAATGATGAGAACCTTCTAGAATGTTCTAGAACACCAAAACCATTCCTAATTACATTAGGAATGATAAATCATATTAGGCCCTCCCCTAGATCATTGGGCCGTACTTAAAGCTCAAACTGGGCCCAGTTTAGTAAATTGGCCATAACTTCCTCAATATTCATCGGAATTGGGCTTATAATATATCGTTGGAAAGGTCTTTGCAAGCCCCATCCAACTACACCACTATTGGACCCATATCATGGACCAACCAAACTGGATTGACTGTTTTCTTAAAATAAAGTTTTCAAAATCAGGGAGAAGAGAAAAGAAAAGAAATAAAACTTTCCGCAACACTAGACCTTTCCATACTTTCGTTTCATTCGATTATGATTTGACGTGAAAGGTACTCATCACTGGGTTTGGTTTTGGGGAGACACAAATGGGTGTCTACACATATGCTTGAGTGTATGTATATATGATTGACGTATATAATTTTATGATATGATCTGATTTAATTGTCTTGCTATTATTGTTATATTGAATGATTGTGTTATATATCTAGGGTTTTTTAATGTTATTGCTATAGGGAGTATTGTTCTTGAGGTTTTAGGATTATTAATGCAGAGTATTAATTTGGGTTGATAATTAATTAATTTTGGGTACTAGTATTTGTTCTATAAGAGTTGAGATATTTTATGAACCGAATATGTCGTCATATATGAATTGGGAACCTGTGCCAATATTGAGATATTATTTATTATCATGTGAATGGTTATTTGATCGATGTATGAGATCAAATGGTTGAGAATTATTGTTTTGTTCTTGGGTTGAGGCTCGGCGTTATATAACTTAGTCCTTGGCTTGTTGGTAAGAGGGTAATAATCACGAGTTAAGAATGAGGTACAATATTTATTTATTATTTATTTTTCTATGGTCCCCTACAGTGGGAATTGGCCCGTATGTGGTCTAGTTCAAGGTGTTTTCTAATTATTGGGAGTATTCAAGTTTTTATACTTGTTGGTCTTATTCGAATTACCCATGTCCAAGGCTAGGTATAGAACAAAGAGCATGGCACACTATTGGTTATGAGTTGAGTAAAGGATTATTATTATTCGAGGTTGAGTTGATAAAGGTTATTTTCAGAGTACAATGTGTTATGTAGTTTTGAACTACATTATTTAATTGAGCTAGTAATATTGATTATCCTATTATACTTTATATTCCTATATGTGGTGATTACTCAGCTTTTTGCTGACGTGTGTGTTATTTTGTTGTGCTACTTGTGTTTGCGGCCATGTCTTTTTCTTATGGTGGCCCTGCGACGATCTATTTTGGAATTTGTCCTTAATGGTGAGCAGTCAAGATTGTTTAAACAGGTTGATCAAGTGATCGTAGCTAAAGGAGCTCAAGTGATCGATTAGTTTGTTTATAACAAGTTTGTAAAGTTGTATAAATAGCTCACGTAGTTTATTGGGTTGTAATAATTGGGATTTTGTAAGCCATAACACTTGACAGGTTGTCGAGTGTGGCGGTAATACCTCCGATTTAGGTGTATGCTTCCGCTATTTTATTTAAAGGTTGTTTATTTTTCCTTTAATTCTTATTTATTTTGGTTAGTAAATCGGGGGTGTTACATTAGCAACCCTATAAATACGAATAGCAACAATGTGGGTCTACTTTTTTTTTTTTTTTTGGTTGGATCAAAAGGTTAATAACCTTTGGATCTTGATACCATTTGATATGAAAAGAGAACAAGGATCTATTTTTGAGGAATTTTTGTGAGTTTTTGAGTGCAAGAAAAAACAAAGATATGATCTTGGATCAAGATCTAAGCTAAAATAATCAACACAAAGTAAGATTATGTAGCAAAATAACTTGATTCACTAGTCACATAGTCTAGAGAAACAAGGGTTTCAATCTAATCAACCACAAAGTTTGATAAAGATTGAGATTTTACCACAAAGGAGAGATCACAAAGAACTCAAAGAAGAGAAAAACTCTCATATTTTCAATATTCAAAACAAGTCTATTCTATTACATCATAAAGTAACTCCTTTTATAAGGAGGCACTAGTACATGAAATAAAACCCTAAACCTCATTAAATCTTAACCATATAAAATAAAAGGCTAGGATTAATTACAAGATAGTAACTAAATAAATACAACCTAAGTCACATCCCACATACGAGGAAAATCATCTAAATAATTCAAATCAAGCTCAGAATATTTCCGATCTTGATCAAGTCAACAATAGTCAACATGGCCCAAAAGTAGTGTCCATGCTCTCACATCAATGGCTCTGTCGCCTGAAGACAGTTATTATCATCTGGCGACAGTGCCATCATCTAGAGACAAGCACTGTTGTCTCGCGCTGAATTCTTCCAATACCGAGCCAGAAATCTACCTTCTTGTTTCGACTAGTTTCTAATAATATTTGCTCGGTTTTACTTCCTGATCGAGTTTTTCCCTTTATTCTGAAACCCATTTGTGTTCTACATATGGCCATAACCCTCTGGGAATTCACGCTCCGTTACCCAATCAAACGCTCCTGGCAACGAAGGGTACATTCGAGTTTGTTGAATTCACCAAACCATGGAAGTGAGTTTAACTCGCAGGGTCCCATCCACTCGCGCCAACCCTTCCAAAGGTAAAAATTCCGCGCGGTGCATCCGGACTCATAACCATGGACCCTCTTTGAATAACCCATATCCTGAACTTTAGAGAACTAGAGCCATGGTTAGGTTGCAAACTCATTGCATCATATTGTGACTATTTGACTACTTATGCATTATTTGCTTGTGCATAACCTATATGTGCTTCCACTAACCGTTTGTTTAACTTGTGAATGAGTTTAAATGAAATAAATAATGACTAAAGAACTTTTATAAATTAATTAACTAATTGATAAATGATAAAATTCTAAATAAATTTATCAAACTTGACTTAGTACGACTTTAGGTTTGTCCCTTTAGAGTAAAGATACTGGAAACAGTCCCAGACCAATGTCCAGCAATGGCACAGAGGTTTGGATTGTAGTGCCACGCGCTAGTGATTAGCGTTAAGCGACAAATGTTTTCGTTGGCGCTGGTCCTTAGCGTTTGGCGACAATGCTGTCGTTCGGCGACAGTCCATATTTTGCTCGAGTTTTCACGACGAGTCTAATTAATCAATTTGCTTAAACGGTTTAATCAGTTTATTAATGACAGTAATCATACTCAGTCCTTAATTGAGTCTAGGCACTAAGGCACATAGTCTCATGGTCTCACATAAGAGTCAAAGCATGTCACTCACACTCACTATTAAAGCACACACCGAATATGTATGTCACACTTGACCATGTCTAGAGAGTCTTGTATGCGCATGTTTTCCGTCCTTTTTTTAAGAGGGTAAGTCGGATATTAATCCTCAAATTAAACCATACTTGTTTGAACCCTTACTTGATCCTCAAAAATACACCTTATTTTTGCTTATTTTTTGTTTTTTGTTTTAAAAAAACAAATAAAGTCAAAGTGAATTTGAGTCAAGTCATTAAAACAAATAAATGGTTTAATTTACAGCTCTTGGTCAAGGAAGGAAGGGCGATTAATCAAGGACAACACATTTGTTCAAGTACTACTTTTCGACAAACTAATCAGTCGAAAAAGAAAAGCTAAGAAGATAATGACAACTCAAGAAGAAGTCAACGAATTTAGGAAGGACGTGGCTAACTAGACTGAATTGATGAAGACTGTGGCCCTTCAAATCAAGGACCATGTGAAGAAATAACAAATGGAGCTCATGCAAGAAAGCTTGAGCAAACTTTCCAATGACTATAGATTCCAAGGCATTAGCTCACAAGGGGTCCTTGTGGACAAGGAACTTCTTCTGCAAAAGTTCAATGCCAATGACATCCCTAGGTTCAAGTCGCATATTATAGTAGCTTGTCCCTAAATAAATACATCACTAATATAAATAAGACTATGATGGCGTTATAGACGATTATAGTCGCTTGTTTTGATCCTCAAGTGTCCCGGCCTATTCTCTTGTTGCACCTACATTGCCTTTTCCAATCTTCAAAAAAAAAACAAAGTTTAAATTAGTACATTACACAATATAGGCTTATACACACACACATACACACACACACACACATACACACACACACACACACACACACACACACACACACACATACAAGCATTTTGAATTTCACACACACAAGTTAAGCATTACACAAACGTCTTTGAGAATGGCAACACTACAACAGCAATCATATAACAGCAACCTTATAAACGTCAGGCTGGAAGTCTTATAACAATAATCTTATAACATCAATCTTACACACACACAAGCATTACACAAACAACGGCAGAGGAAGAATTGTACTAATGATGCAATTACATCACCTATACAACCTTAAAAGTAGAAAGGAAATTACAAGCATTTTCTGAATGAATATTCTCTCACATCCTTTTCCTTATCACTCCTATTAACTTGTTGCTTGAGAAATAACTATCCTGCTTACATCACTTTCTCAGTCCAAAACTATCCCAGTTGCTAACAAAATACAGAATTATATTGGGTATTAACAATTTTCCACATGGAATGCTATAACAACTAATCATCTCCTATCAGGCTGAATTTAGCAGCAGCAAAGAGCTTTTCACATATTAGGTATTACAGCAGGGTATCACACATAATGTCTAAAAAAACAAATGAACAAAAACTAATACTCTTCATTTCTTAACCAATCAAGTGCCTTTTCACATTGCCTAGCATACATAAGGCAAGATAGAGGCTTGGGGTAGTCTGGTGGGCTGCACAAAAGGACTTTTGGTTCTCTAAACTTGCAGAAAGATGTAAAATATTCTAGACCAGCCCAGCAGAAAAAGATACAGTACATCACTTCACTACATCTCAAATCACTAAAGATTCATAGTTATGTTAAAAGAAGGTGTAAGCAAATCTGATTTTCAGTTATGTTAAAAGAAGGTATAAGCAAATCTGATTTGTAGTTATGTTAAAAGAAGGTATCAGCAAATCTGATTTTCAGTTATGTTAAAAGAAGGTATGAGCAAATCTGATTTTCAATTCTGAACTTCAGATCTGAATTGAGTTCTGAATTGAGTTCTAATATTCAAAGCTGGATTCAGTTTTGGATTTCAGCTCTTAGTAGTTGCTTAACAAGTTTGTGGCACCCTAGTATTTGCTTAACTAATTTTCTTGTGATTTGTAATCCAAGATAATATAACCATCAATATGAGCCATGCAAACATAAGACTTTTAGTCCTACAACAACAACAACTTTGTTATAATTTTGATGCTATTAGTGTTTTGAAGAAACAAGGGATTTTGAGAATTATCAATGAAAAAATGTATTGAATGGTAGAGATGCATTCCCAAGACAATAATTGGTATACTTCATTCATATACCACACAATTCGTTTCTATTTCCCACTGAACTAGCTCAAATTGAGTCATAAACTCATAAGTACACATATAGCAATAGAGAAGGTGAAAATTAATGTTACCAGGATACTCTTCTTTGACTCTGGAATGGAAGAGAGTTGCTATACCAAAACATATACCATCTCCAAGATAGTGACATACTTTAGATCTTCTGTCATCATGAAATAAGAGTGCGGAGCGATAAGAAAGTGAAAAAAAAAAATAAGAAGAAATTTTTTAGCCCTGCTATATAATTATATAGACAATAAGTATTATATAATATTATCATTTTTATGTATTAATAATTATGAATTAAATTAAGATAATAATGTATACAATCAAGTCATTATACATTCTGTTCATTTCATTGTATTTGTATACATTTAGTACCTTTTAAAAGTAAATAGAGTAGCGAGGTCCTAGGAAAATTAATGATCACTCTAGGAAAATTTGGATCTAATATTAATCTATGTTGACAAAAACTTGATTACATCAGCAAGATGGTAGAAACCATATAAATACTTATAGTGTTGACTATGAATATCGATCATCTTTTTCATTATCACACAATTTGCCATTAAGCAAATCCTTCTAGCTAAGATTTCCATATTTGCCACTACCTCCATGAGGATATGTTAGATAATTTCTTCGGTAGCGTGGCTAACGACTAAATCAATCAATTTTCATGTTAAATTTCAATTGTTGCAATAACTATCAAGAAAATCATTCAACTCATAACCTTAAGAAATTCAAAATTCAAATAAAAACGAGAAATTGATACTTCAAACCATTTGTGTTCATTCACCTATTCGCTGTAAATATTGACAGACAAATCCTTTGACATAGATTTTTATTTAACTATAAATAAAGCAGATTTGGAACTACAGAAGCAGAGAAGTGAAAGAAATCATTGACCAACTTATCATATATCTTAAGCAATTTTGCTTTTTAAAAACAAAAATAATATTAGAATTGGGTTAAAATTGTAGCCTTGTAGCATATAGACGCATAAACAAAACCCTCTAATTGTTTTTCAAGAGCCAAACCCATATATCATCAAAACATTACTCAAAATTATAACCCTTAAAATGATCTAAATTAAAGTACTCTATTCTAAAAGGAAATTAGGGAAAAAAGTATTACCTCAGAATCATCGATCTGAACGTATTTGATTAAATTTGACAATAAGTAAGGAAAATTCCGCAACGTAATATAAAGAGAAAAAGTATATCTTAATCCAAGATTGATGAATTCTTTGCATTTTTGGAGGATTAAAATCGAAAAAAGAGACGATAATAAGAACAATTGAGAACAAGGGTTCTACTTTTGTTCAGGAGCGACGGTTTTTTCCCCTAAAATGAATTCTGAAGATGTAGGTTAAGCAAAGTACATCACGTGCCCCACACGTGAGGGTTTCTCGACGCTTTTCAGAGTCGAAATTAAATATCAAATTCAAACAGCGTCAAGAAGACACGCACACTATAATAATTACCTAACGCCCCTATCACAGTGTCGAGCTAATAATGTCTAAAAAATACGCATTTTGTAGTAGTGAATGGGATAAGACAACCTGGGTTTGAAATCTTCTTAGATTGTAACTTTCTAGATGATGTCCCAACTCCTATCCATAAGGAGAAAACACTTTCTACTTTGACTTTAATGTCATGGGACTTCTCTTTGGGCACGAAAAGAATGAGCCAACATATGTCGAGGATAACTCCTTGCTCATTCAAACGATACTACAAAGTGATAGCTTTGACCCTTCTAAGCTTATCACTCCAGCCGAGGGATTAGTTTAAGGATGGAAAAATTAAAGACCGTGAAGGTGACTACTCAAGTGGAAAAAAGATATCCATAACAACAGGACAAGGACCAATGTTCGAAAAATCGTCTGAGTTAGAGTCCGAGTCAGAGTCTTCCCCTATCGAGTCTTCTAAGTCTCTAGTTATAGCACCTTCCCTCAATTCTTCTGTTTTAGCACCTTCTCCTAGAATAGTTAGTAGTCAAGTCCCAGCGGACATATCTTTATTTGATATAATGGTTTCCGATTTTAATAATATGTCTTCATTTGCTTACTCCTCGTGTCACTTTTTAACCCAAGATGATGGACATTGCTTAACTAACAATGAAAATGAAAAAGAAATAATTAAAGCAATGGAAACACTTGAAAATAGGACACCAGTAATTGAAGATACTGAAACGGTTGATATCACTAAAGATCCAACCATTAAAAGAGAAGTTAAAATCGGACTAACTCTTAATAAAGAAGTAGACCCGATTTAATTAATCTACTAAAAGAGTTTATCGATGTATTCGCTTGGTCATATGAAGATATGCCCGGAATAAATAGAGAAATAGCTCAATACACAATACCACTAATTCTAGGAATAAAACCTGTAAAACAAAAGTTACGTCAAATGAAACCTGACGTAGCTCTTAAAATAAAAGAAGAAGTACAAAAACAGATAACTGCAGGTTTTATCAGGGTATCCAAATACCCCCCAACAGGTCGCAAATTTCGTCCTAGTTCCAAAGAAGGATGGAACGGTAAGAATATGTGTCGACTATCGAGATCCAAATAAGGCAAGTCCGAAGGACGACTTCCCTTTACCACACATTGATATCCTAGAAGATAATTGACAAGAGGAAAATGTAGGTCGTTATCTACCCCTTCCGAGACCCAAACTAAATTTGTAAATACTCGACCAACCTAATACGAGTATATGGTAAGTCAAGGGTTGAACCCAAAGGAATGAGTAGGTGCAAGCTATAGCCTATGTCAAGCTAGTTCGAAGAATGTAGATGGTTATGGTTGGTGACTAAAGTATCAAGAAACTAGACAAATCGGAGAATTCAATATGCTAAACACTAGGGATATAGGGTCCACATGCAAGCTCAATGATTATGCTAATTGATATATCACTCAATAGATTCAAATATCACAAAGGACAAACAATAGTTGCAATCAAAGGAATCCAAAATCTATCTCCTATAAGCCAAGCTAGGGTTCACTATGAATGGCTAACAAGGAAAAATCACAATAAAATTCAATCAATTAAAGCAATTCTCAAATCAAGGGTTTATGTCATTGAAATTTGCAATGCAATCTAGATTAATCTTATAGGTTGATCACTCCTAGTCTAATTAATCACATGCACAACTATGTCAACAAATTTAATTGCAACAATTCAATTAATTTAGGATCATCAACTAGAAAAAATCATCAATCAAGCATGCTTCCCCTTCTCCCTATCAACTAATCTACTTATTAATCATGGTGAAATTGAGAAACAAAACAAATTATATCACAATCATATTCATTTCAAGCTTAATCAAAAATAAAATCATTCAATCAACAAATTCTAGAGCAAAGAAAGTAATCCAAATCAAAATTCAAGAAACTAGAAGGAATTGCATTAAAAGTATATCAAAGAAAAGAATTCTTACAAATTTTCATTGAATTGAAGAAGGAATTCCAAGATCCAATTGAAATCTAAGATCAAATTCAAGTACAAATCAAGTAAATCCTAAGCTTCTCTCTCTACTATTTCTGGAAAATTATATCTAAAGTACAAAATTTAAGTCATCCCAAAAAACAAAAGTCAAAAGCTATAAATAGAAAAACCGAGCGAAGGTGGCTGAACAAGGCTGTGTGCATGCACCAAGCAGCCGCGCACGCACACAGCTGGGTCTGCGTGCACGCACCTCTAGTGCTGCGCGCGCACCCTTGTTTGGTGCACGAGGCCTTAGCTCCTTTGCTTGCTCGATCAAACTCCGCGCTCCCGAGCATCCCTATCATTGGTGCACTCGAGGTGATGCTCGTGAGAAGGGCATCTCCTTTATCTTCCAAGCACTTTAACATCCCAAGCTAAAGCGTTGCTTCCAAGGTCCTTGTGCTTGCGGAGCTAGCTTGAATTGCATGTTTGGATTCATGAACTTTGCTCCATCAAACTCCTTGAATGCACTCGAGCTTCCTCCTTGATAATTAAATCCTGGGAAACTCGACACACCTACAAAACAAGTCAAAGAAACAAAGAAGCGAGAGAAATAGCCGAGAAATGAATAAAATAGAAAGAAAACACACGCATATCTCTAAACTAACACACAAACACGCAAATCAAGCATTATTCCCTAAAAATATGACATAAAAGACAAAAACGAGAATAAAACTATAGAGAAAGCCTAGCCTAAGAGTGTCATAAATGACACTTATCAAATTCCCCCAAGCTAGACTTTTGCTCGTCCTCGAGCAAAACAAAGATTAAACTTACAAGTAAAATGATGACATTATTTAGGTAAAAATAAACAAGAAAAACAAGAGAAAAGAAGAATGTACACTAACTCACTTTCGTAGGAATCACAGTTAATTTTAGCAACTAAAGACAAGCCATTTAAACCCCTAGATCGCCCTGGAGGACGAGTGATGCTCTCGTAAAGGTTTCCTAAGTGGTAACCTATAACTCTTTTATTAAAAGGAGGCAAAGCATAAAAAAATAAAAGAGAAAGTTTAAAACCTTGAAAAGAAAAGAGGTGCTTATACAATGGACTTTTGCACATGATGAAAACACGAAATGATATCAAACTTTCTAAAACAACAATGGTAAGCACGTTCTAAGATATCGAGGGTTGATTGAAACATAGGGCATGCTAAGTATAGAGAAATACCAAAACGCAATTCACCTTCATCTAAAAAAATTTTAGCACATTTTCCCCATTGGCTTTAAATCCTCTTTTAGTGAGCGTCTCTATAGTTCCTCGAAGGAACCGGATAATCAATAGATTTGAGGTTTTCTCGACATCTTGACTTTGCATTCCTTCTCCTTACTCTTTAACTCATAACGCCCTCCCTCGGTATATGACTCAACCACTGTGTCAAAAGGGCTTTCCAAAAGGTTGTAATGTAAGGGCAAAAGGGTGAGGGTAGGCTTAAAATTTAGAATTTGGTGGTACACCTAAGTTGTGAAGCAAGATTGACCAAATATCAACGCCAAAACAAAGTGATCACAAAAAAAAAAAAAAAAAACAAACTAACACCCCAAGCTTATTCAAAGCTATAACCATAATCATATATACAAAAAGCGTAAGACGCTTCCCTCCCAAGCTAGAAAATAGCATTGTCCTCAATGCTTAAAATAAAGGGAGAAACAATCAAAATATTTTTTGAACTTTTCCATTTCACTTTTTTTTTGCCAAAGCTTTACGAGATTTGCTTTGCTTTTACTCAACCCTTCAAGTTTAATTTTATTTAATGTCCTTGCCTTTTTTAACTTTGGACGGCTATTTCATTTACTCATTTGAATGTCCTTGCCTTTTTTTTTAACTTTGGAAGGCTTTTTTCATTATACATTTTCCATTATTCAAAAAATATACAAATAACAAGCTTGCTTACAAATAAAAACCAATACTGAAACTCATACACCACAAACTCCAAGAACATGGCCATTTGCTTCACAAAAACCAAAATGGAACAAAAAGAAACAAAAGGCACAACGATCTAAAGATGTGGCTAGAAAAGAAGGGAAAAAGGCTCAAATGGTTAGCAAGTAGGCAAATATGAACCCAAGAACTAAAAATAAAGAAGATCAACCTAGAAAAGAAAAATTACCACCCCAAAAACATGCCTTTATCCTCCTTAGAAGGTTCAGTCTCGTGTTTGAGAATTATGAGTCAAATTTCAAGATTAGGTCCGTAAAAGTCAAGGATCCATGCCACTCATACAAGTAGTTGAAGAAGGCTTGAAAACAAGAAACCTCACAAGGTTGTGGCATAAACTCACTAAAAGCATCAAATAAGAGAATCCGATTTCAAGGTCCCAATAATTCTAGACAACTACCTTAGCATATTCTATCCTAGAGTCAACCAAAGATACTCTCAAACCGTGTAAACCATTGTTTTTAGGAAGAATAATAGCCAATGTGCAAGCTCAAGTGGTACTAAGTCCGAAGTAAAAGCAAAATTATGAAGAAAGAAAAGCAATGTCTCAAAAACATTTTATTCATATTTACAAAAAACGTTTTTCTTTTTTTTTCGTATTATTATTATTATTATCATCATCATCATCATCATCATCATCATCATCATCATCATCATCATCATCATCATCATCATCATTATTATTATTATTATTGTTTTCAAATGAAAGAAAAGGAATAAAAATTGTAACATATGAAAGCAAGAGACAAAAAGAAAAGTAGAAGAAAAGAGAAAAAGGAAACAAGAAGGAAATGGAAAACCAAAAGAAATAGAAAAGGGAGATAAAGGATATGAAGCGAAAAATAGTAAAGAAAAGGAGAAGTAGAAAGCAACAAGGAAGTAATGCTAACACACATAAGTCCCAATCAATAAACAAGTGAACATTCGGCCACAACACCAATGTTCCCAAACACACTAAGATGTTAAAAAGCAAACATCCTCGAACAATTCAACTCCTCCTAAAACTAATCCTAAACTAAGCATCTAAGAAAAGAAAAAGAAGAAAAATAGAAAGATCTCACCG